GACAATGTGAAGAGGTAATCGTGCTAGAAAAGTGATAGAAAAAGTTCCATCACCGAGATTCTCAGGAACTTTCGTTGGGCGCGGAACCATCAGGCTTGGCGCTGCCGCGACGGAGATGATCGATGAGTTCTTCAAGATCCTTGCGTGCGGATTCCCTTCCAAACATGAAGCCATACCTGGCGATCCAAAAACGAGAAGTGAGAGCAGAAATCCCTAAACCCTAACTGGAGATGAGATTTATACCAGAAAGAGACAGCGGAGAATAGTCCTGCTGCCGCCACCGTTTGAATTAAGGTAAGCCTCTTCTCCATGGCGAGAGAGAAGCAGTTGGAAAGGTTCTCTAAATTTGTAGGGTTTAATGAAATGCTCACTTTCATTTTCATTTGTAGGTAAGACAGCATAAATGTAAAAAATTAATCTTTAAATGTTAGATGTATAAATACATAAGAATTCAGTGTAATGTATGTAAATCTCCATTATTTTATATATAAGAACTGTTTTTATAGTTTTTTTTTAATAGTAAAAACAGATTCACTAAATATTTATTATAAAAAAATATATCTTAGAACAAAGGATGTAATGCAAATTAACTCAAATTTAATAGTTCCCTAGATATATATAACATGTACATGTCTGATTATATGGCAAAGTCATGTTGAATCCAGCATAAATTCTATTACACGCACTTCTAAAGAGCATTCAGAGCCCTATTTATAGAAAAATGTAGAAATCAAAAGAGTGAGAGAATCGGGTAACTAATTATGTACATTGGAATGTGTTTATAAGAATCTCAAGGAAAAGAGCTGGAGACATAAAGAACATTGTTTGTTCATGCAAACGATCGTTCAGACTCAGAAGCTGATTAAATGAAGAGAATGAACGACCCAACGAGCACTGCATGGCCGCATCACCACCAACTACCCAATAATTATCATCTTGAAATAGCGATCGCCCAAGGTGAGGTACTTTGGCATAGAAACATATATCGAAGGTTGGCAGCTTGTCGGATTAAGATTTACCCTTTATCCGATGAAATAATCCTACCTTAGGACAAACTGTCTTCACATTCAGTCTCCACAGATTGGGCGACGGAAGGTCATTGAAGACGACTGATTGATGTTGGGTCAGCCGAACGAAACACAGTCAAGTGAATGAACCCCAAGCAACCAAATTGGACAATTATGAATGTGAAGCAGTGTTCAAGGCTGTTATAGAAGCATAATGCACTAACAACGGCTATGAGGTCAGAATAAATGACATTCAGTTACAAATGTGTAAATGTAATGGCTCATTAATTATTGTAATGTTCCCCTCCTTAATAAAGAATAACAATATAACTTATAAATCTTACCTATGAACTATAAATAAGGGGATTATTTTCAACAAAAGAGAAAGGGGAACAAAATCCTGACTAAAAATATAAAGTGTTCAAATCTTTCTTCTTTCATCTAATTACCATTTTATTCCTTAGGTGTGATCTGCAAGATAAAGATTTTACTAAAGATAAAATTTTTTTGTCAATGTGTAAGATGACAATTTATCTTAAGATAAATTAAAATTTACACCTGCATAACCTGAGCAAAAAATAACATGCATTTTTCTCTCTCTCTCTCTCTCTATATATATATATATATAACATTAATCAAAAGCTATTATACGAGCCTACCGACCAACCTCATGTGCTTAAGAATTTTATCAAGTGAACCCGTGGCCCCAGTGGTCTTACAAACTGTCAACCGAAAAGTCATGGTTGGCGGCACATTCAGAGAGAGAGAGAGAGAGAGAGAGAGAGAGAGAGAGAGAGAGAGAGAGAGAGAGAGAGAGAGAGAGAGAGAGAGAGAGAGAGAGAGAGAGAGAGATTCTAAAAAAGAACAATGCTATTATTACTTGCATTAATCAATAGGTAAACCTTATTATTATAATTATTTTGTAAAACAAAAGAGTTCAATAGTAAGTATCTCCCTTATTTGGAAGACTTCACATAGCTAAAGTCTCCAAAGTAAGCATCTACACAGTTAAAAAACAATTATACATAAAAATGTTCAAAAAATACCATCTCCTAAATCCATATTAAATACAGCAATAACAAACGAATATATAAAACATGGACTCCATCAAATTCTCTCATTTACTATAACTCAATTAAGAAAAAAAAATTCATTTCAAAATCAAAGCTCATCTTCCTGAATCTGCTCGCCTCAACCAGCCGAAGGCAAATCAGCTCTCTTCCCCTTCTCCAAATCAGCCGCAACCACACCACTGCTCTCCCCTTTGCCCTCCGCCTTCCCGCTCGCCGCCATCTCGCTCATGTCCAACGCCACCTTCAACATCCTCACAACCTCGCTCATCTTCGGCCTCTCCTTCGCCTGCTTCACAAGGCAGCCATTCGCCAGGTTCGCAACCACTCTCGCAGATTTTAGAGAATACTGATACCTCAGCCTGGGATCCATAATCATGTTGAATCTCTTGCTCTCGATCGGGAACTGTTTGACCCAATCCAAGAGCTTATGCTCGTTCGTCGGGCGGTTTCGGTCGAGGGAGCGGCGGCCGGTGAGGAGTTCGTAGAGGACGACGCCGAAGCTCCATACGTCGCTCTTGGTTGTAAGATGGCCGGTTTCGATGTAGTCCGGTGCAGCGTAGCCGTAGGTGCCGACCGCCTGGTTACGGCAGCAATATAGTTTGATTCAGTTCATACAAAGCATCGGATTATAATCAATGTTGTTTTTTTTTTCCCGGATCTGACACCTAAACATTGTTATGTATACATATATACTACCAGAATTTTTTATATTGCATTAAAAATATCACTATTTTAACTTAAAAAAAAAGTGACATACAATTTTTAGGTAGAGCTGTCAAAACGGCCGGTTGTTCTCGAACAACTCGTGTTCGACTCGTTAAGAAACTCGTGTTCGGCTCGTTCGCTAAGTTAACAAGCCGAACACGAACAACACAAACAAAAATTTGTTCGTTTGTGTTTGGCTCTTTTTGACTCAAAATACTACTAATCAATTATATATATATA